CACTATGTCCTTAACAATTACACTGCACACATGAAGTTAAGAACATTATGTCCTTAATATTTACACTGCACATATGAAGTTAAGGACATGATGTCCTAAAGTTTAACAACAGAAAGTGCAAATACAGGACACTTTGTCCTTAATATTTACACAACATTCATGAAGTTAAGGACACCACGTCTTTAATATTTAAACATCACTCATGAAGTTAAAGACACAATGACCTTAATATTTACACTACACATATGAAGTTAAGGAGAGGATGTCCTAAAGTTTAAAACAGAAGGTGCTAATTCACGACACTATGTCCTTAGGGGTCGTTTGGTAGCCGGTTAGAGAGGAGTTATCTATGTATTAAATGTAGGATAACTTTATACATTGTTTGGTTAAAAGAAGGGGGAAGAATAATCTCCACGTAGAAGCTAGCATAAGTTATACAATGTTTGGTTGTTTTTTCCTCTTTTTCACATAAAATATAGCATTGCTAATACAATGTTTGGTTCATGTATTTTCTTTTCCGCATAACTAAACATGTATAAGTTATGAGGGAATCTATGTATTATTTATGCAAGGTAGAAGGTGGAATAACTTATACATAATTAGTAATACTTGTATTAAAACACAAAATGACAAGAATACCCTTTATTCAAACTTGTATTTTTTTGTTTAAAAAAATATATTTAAACTATACTAACAATTTTAATAAAAATAAAGTAAGCTAATAATAAATAACACTCATATTACATTTATATTACTAATCCTTATATAACTACCGCATAACTAATCCCCGCATAATTAATCCATGCATAACTAATCCCAACATAACTCAGCCTTGCATAACTTATCCCTGCATAACAAATACCTGCATTACTTATTCCTGCATAACTAATACATACATAACTAATACCTGCATAACTAATACATGTATAACTAATACCTGCATAACTCTAACCGGTAACCAAACGACCCCTTAATATTTACACAGCACTCATGAAGTTAAGGATACCATGTCTAGCACAGGGGTATTTTCGTCCGGACAAGTAAAATTTTATTAAAAAAAGTGGCTAAAGAGTAAGTATATTTCAAAAAGTGACTTAAGAGTAAATACAACTCTAGTTAGTGGCTAAGTGTGCACTTCCCCTTTAATATATGTGGAGAGTAGAGTATATATAGCGAAAACAAGAATAATACAATATCAAAATAGCAACAGTAAAAAACTCTCATTTCTTTGTAGTTTTTGAAAAGAAAAAGAAGGAGGAAAACCAAATTGAAAAGCGACTATCTTCTCTTCCAAGTTTCCAGTTTCTTCTGATTGTCCCAAATCATGTTCAAGCAGTTCTGGTAATATTTCTCTGTTAATCACCGATTTCTATTTCGTTTTTATTATTCCTTTGTAAAATTCTAATTATCATTTTTCATTGTTGAATAGGGTTCATTTTGCTTGCTTTCCAAAATTCATCTATTAAATTTATGTTTTACTTTACTATACTCTTAAATTTTGTATGCCGGATGATATATTTCTTTATTTGTTGACAATTCTTTTATTTCTTACACTTACGTTAATATCCGGGAAGGGCGTGATTTGTATGTTAGTTTAAGGATAAGTGTACGATTTAGAGAACATTAGTTTTAGAGAATCCTTAATATGTTTTGAAGTATGGATCTTAGAGTATTTGAATAAGTCGTGCCCAAATGGAATAGATAGATGATTCATAGAGTCAACTTCGACTACTTTGAGTTGTAGCGATGAGGATGTTGTTGTCGTTAGGGATAGGATAGGGGTTCATAATGTCAGACTTTTATGGTCAGAGGCATATGTACATTATCAGTTACGGGTTCAATCGAACCCAGTAGTTTTGGCTCAAACCCTGTATATGGGTGAAGAAATCTACTAAATATGGACAAATATTTAATATTGAATCCAGTAAGTCAAATGTTCAGTGCCTTCAGTGGCATCCTGAACCTATAAAGTTCAAATCCTGGGTCCCCATCTGTTTATGATAGCAACTTATACTTTATGTGGAATTGGTTAATAGGATGTTTGAGATCATAAGCTAGCGATGACTACTGTATGGTTGGATGAACTCCAATTCTCTCCTTTGTCTCCTAACGGAGCACTTATTAACACAATTTAGTGGTGTCTTGTATTTATTTTCCTGTTCCATCGAGTCACTTAAGCATTCAGAAAGCAGAATTTTTTTTGCATGTAATTTTGTATGTCTTTTTGACCATAAGATTTATGTAGCTTGTATTGACTTGCATATGGACATGGTATGCTCTCGGTAAGTATGATGCATGAAATCAGCTTGTTATTTTTAACATATGAACTTTTTGTTAATTTCCTGCAGGGGTTCTCAAGGGCAACAAGCTCAACAACGTCCACAGGAGGGTAACAATGATCCATGGTATGCACCATCTGCAAGCAGCTCTCCTGGGTCTTCCCGTCCCACAACTCCTAGTCCAAGCTCTTCAGGAAGCTTTGGTGCCCAAAGACCAACAGATAGGCCAAGCTCAGCATCACACGTTTCCCCTGCAGAGGCTGCATGCATTATAAATGCTTTAAAGGATAAAAGGTATAGTATCCAGTATAATGAAGTATGCACGCTGTTCTCTGTAACGAAGCTCTTGATACTCATGAAATTTTCTCGACTAGGAATTAGAATGGTCATGTAACTAGCTCAAAATTATAATTATATAGCTCTCTAATCCCGATAAATAATTTGCTAAACTCCTGATAAATCTTGAAGCAGTAATTCTACCATCGTGCACTTGGAACAGATCCTTTTAATATTACTCTTTTGTAAAAGAATTTTGGCCTGTTATCTTAAGGAGTCTTATGAAATGCAAGTGTTGTGATGAACTGGAGTGCATATAGTTAAATCTGCTGTGATGGTACAGGTTCTATTATTTGATAGTAGAACCTTTAGACGTTATTAAAAACTGCAAAGTACATTATGGACAATCGATACTACTAAGGTGGTTTTTCTAGAAAAAAATGGAGTTGATTTCCAGATATTCTGGTTTTAAGAAAACAATTTAAAAACAAAACAAGAAGACAGAACATAGGAGTTGATTCTCAGGCTTGCTTGATAGGGGAGAAACACCCGCCTATGCATCTTGCTAAGTATGTATCCTAATTCAAAATGGATCAGTTTTCTAGTCCAAATGCCACACAATTTTTCTGGTAGAAGTTGTCCTCAGGTTTGCTTCATAGTGAGAAGAATCTGGCTATGCATCTTGGTAAGCATATGTAGTTTCTTTTTTGCCATTAGTTTCTGTGAATTATTGATTGAATGTTTTATGGCACCCGTTAAGTTACCAAATGCTCATATTTTAACAATGACCCAAGATAAACTGTAAGATTTTACTTTGACTTGTGCAAAATTTCCTTTGCCAGCAGATAATCCTGTCTTAGAAAATATTCATGACTGAAGTTCTTCGTTTTCATGCTGGGGAGTTGGGATTGATAAGAAGAGTTATCTTGTTTTGTAGTGATTAAATAATTAACTGAAGTGTTAGGCATCTTCCTTCATTCTGCTTTCTACTTTTAGATGTTTGATGTCTTGCTAAAATTTTCAAGACTGAAGTGTTAGGCATCTGCTGTCTTGCTAAAATTTTCAGCATTGATGAGCTAAGGAAGCTTCTATCTGGCGACGATGCTTATCAGAATTTCTTACTTTCACTTGAGCCTGTCAAAACTCAAAATAAGGTAAGAGGTTAAGTTTTCTTTGTTGAGATTGTTCGTGTTATGCATGATTGATCTGATCTGTTCTTATCGTGCTCCAGAAAATAACCCATGTACCTGGTTGAATGAAAAATTGTTTCAGACAGCGGGTATTCACGTTATCTGTGGGACAAGTATAGGAAATGATATGAATTTAGTTGTTCTACTTTTGAATGGGGTTTTTCCATAAATGGCGTATTTTTTAGTTTAAGATGAGGCAATGCGTTGAAGCTGTTTTATTTTACAATCTGGTTGAGAGTTACTGTAGAAGTTCTGTCTACTGTGCTTTATTTGCTTTCTCTAATTTCTCACTCATGCAATTTAAAATCCTAAAATACATGCGAATTTGGATGGTCAATAAGCATATCTTGTTCTTTCTTCCTTTTCTTGCCACGATGAGCCATGGATCCTCTATGCACCACTTGTCCTCCTGCTCGCTTAACACATACGAGACAAAATTGGGATTTTGCTGTAACTGGTAGTATCTCTTTTTACTTCATTTCTCCAATTGGATTTGACCCTTTTTCCCCATAAATTATCTTATCAGGTCAGGGATGAGCTTCGGAATGAAACTTTGCAGCTTGCTAGTAAGTTTGGGTCACTTCTTAGTAACTGAGATGTTTCTATCCATTAAACCAGATAGATTTTTAATTCACTTTTTCTGCAGGGGAGAATTTAGAGAAAGAACCACGGATAATGGAGCTTAGGAATCAGGTGAGATATTACTTTTTCTTTTTGTTACTTATGTCTGTTACTTTCACTTACACTTTTTAAATGACTAGTTTGACCTTTTAGCATCAAAGCATTGATTGTGAAAGGTTTTATGTGTCCTTCCTATTTTGCTGATTACAGTGCAGAATCATCCGCACCACTGAATTGGCTGCTGCTCAAGAAAAGCTGCATGAATTGGAAAGGAGAAAAGAAGAGCTTTTGAAATTATACTCTCCTGGATCACTCCTCCATCGCTTACAAGGTAAAAACTGGAAGTACATAATAT